GGCCGCGGCCGCAGCTGGGAGCGAGCTGAGAGACCTCAGCCTGGCGGTGAGGGGAGCCGCCCCTCCCTCCGACTCGGCGCCCGAGTGACGCGGGCGACGCGTTTGGCCGGTTCCGGGGGGCACAGGGTCCCCTGCGTGGGAACATCCGTCTCCCGCCCCCGCCCCCGCCTCGCGGTCCGTAGTTAGAAGAAACAGGCCGAGCTTTGTATCGTGGTTTCGGTCCCGTAATTTTTTTACCCTGGTTTCTCCGCGGCATTGTGGGGGGCGCGGGGGCAGGGAGGGAGTGGGCGCCGAGACTCCTTGGCCACTGTCTCTGCCATCTCCCTATGCGAGTTAGGAGTTGCTCTGCGTCCAGGTCGGGTGTAACGAAACCATTTTTCATTTCCTCTCGTTCCAGGACCAGGAATCACCTTCAGGCCAATCCGGTGAAGCTTTGGCAGAAATTAAGGAAGAAAACAGCTCCTCTGTGAGTCATTTTGCCCCGCTTTTCTGTTTAGTGCACTGAGTGCAGCAATAGGGTGTTCTGTGCAATTTTACCTTCCTTTATCTTGAAGGCAAACAACTAATTTTTGGGTGGACCCTGTCCCCAGAGCCAAGCTGGGGCCATCACAGGGGAGGCACTGGGTGTGTTGCACACTTACACCACGGGACAGTTTCCAGAGTGCCAGTCAGCCCTCCTGCTAGCACCACATCAGGAGAGAGGTGATCTAGTTGTCACCCTCGTGATTCAGAGATGGAGCACTGAATTGCTAGTGACCCCACGATCCTTCCATTATAGAATAAATGTTTCTCCTTGCTTCCAGAAAGTAATCTGTTTGGCGTTTGTTTCAGTAAAATAAAATGCGCAGTTCTTTGTCAGTTAGTTAATGGTTTTTACACCAATCCTTGCCCGAATAATTTTATTAGGAGTGTCAAAACGATAACTTAAAAAAAAAAAAACCCTTTGATTATACATTTATTATCTGGAATTCTGTACACTCTTTGATCTGCCTACTTTATCCTTTCAAAGTGATGGAGCAGTTTTCTGTTGGTCATCACGAAGACACTTGCGGTTAGTTTCTCTCCCAGTGGTATTCCTGCCTTCCTGTCGCCCCCATTGCTCCTTGCCAGACCCGGCTGTGCACTTACTGTTATGCTTCACAGCACCCCTCTTCACTTACTTAGACTGGGACAGGGTGCCAGGATGGAGAGATCTGTGTCCAGCTTCTCAGAGTGGAGATTGTTCAACTGGGCACCTTTCTCGGGAGACCTGGAGTGGTGCTTTTTAACATCCCCTGGTAAATTGTGGAGTTGATGGTATATAGATATGGTTCTCGAGCTGTGATGGGTCTTCATAGGGACAGGGAACTACTAGTAGAGTCTGAAATTCTCAGGGTAACAAGTCACTGACCCAGTTATTGTTTAGACAAGCCACTTTTCTCAGCAAAGTGTTTTAGGGTATTTGCAACATGATGCAGTACAAAGGACAAGGTTTTAGTGCCAGCTGGAGTAGAGTACACATCTGCTCTTACTTGGACAAGTGCAAACTGAGTAAGGGTCAGTCAGTGAACCTTAATTATGTACATCTTATTCAATTACATGCTCTTTCGTTACGCACATTTTAAATAAGTAATTTATGTTTCTCTTCCCAAGATTGCTATGAAGATTGAAATGAGTATAAAAATTGGTAAAGTGCCTGGCCCATGAGTTACGGGACACACACACTCACACTGTTAATGGTAGCTATAATTCTTAGTTTATTTTTTTTATTGCTTTATTTCCTGAGATTTCCTCAATTTTGTCTTTTAATCCTTTTACTGAATTTTTATTTGTGCTAAACTTAATTTCTGGAAGCTCTTTTTATATCAGAAATGTTAATTTTTTATGGTGTTTTTCTCATCATGTGTCCACCTAGAATACTGATAGTTGGTGGTTTTTCATTTTACATTTTCTTTTTCCTGCCTTCTATCGCTTCCCTTCGTTTTCTCTTTTAACTGGTTTTCTTCTCAGACGTGCTGCTTTCCTCACGGGTTTCCAAGCTCTTGACTGGTCTGGGGGGTGGGGTGGGCGTGGGCGGGGCTTCCAGGTCGGCGCTCCCTGGCGGAGGGGTCTTTTGGCCCGCGGATGGAGAACCTCGTGAGTCGCTAGCTTTAGGTCTTTCCTTCCGTGCTGGTTCCCAGTTCCACAGCGAAGAGCGTTTCTGAGAAGTCTTCCGAGAAAGAGGTTGCCGCCTGGGAACTGAAGGTCTGGGTGCCGCTCCCTGGGGGTCCAGGAGAGCGGGCGCTTCGTGCGCGCCCCGAGCCTTCTCGCGTGCCCAGGGAGGCCCCAGGCGGGGGCTCGTGCTCTGTCATCTGCGCAGAGTGAGAGCCTGGAACTCGCCTCGGCGTGGGCCAGGGCCTGTCCGCGTCCATGCGGGGGATTGGAGGGGTTAGGGACCTCCCACCCTCCAGTTTTAGCCGCCGGCCCCCACCCTGAGTCGTCAGGAGCAGCAGGGCCTTAAGGATTCCGCAGCTCAGCGTCTCATCTCTCAGTTTAGCTGTCTTAGGTCGGCCGAGCTAGTTAGCTACTCATCCATCTGCTCTTCGGCTTAGAAAATTTTGTTGTGTTTGTTTCTTTTATTCCCGTGTGGTGTTCACGGAGATTTTAGAAGGGAGGGAAGTTGATCGTGTGGCCAGTCTCCCATTGTCTTAATCTTTCAATTTCTGGACTGTGGCTTTGGACTTGGGCACTTAGGCGATTCTCTTGCTGTTTGTGAAAGTTGTTCCTTTGCCTCTTTGTTCTGTCTCATTGCCAGTGCCTCGGGAACCATGGCACAGCTTCATTTTGCTTATGCTTTTAGATGGGATTTTAGATGAGAGGTGGCTTTGGAGTTGAATTTATTTTTATGTAACTATATAAATGTTTTTATATTCTGAAAGATCTGTGGCAGTAAGTGCACAGAGGTGCCATAGAACTGATTTGCGATGAACAGCAGTTGTGGTCGCGTGCATTATAGAGCCTAGAAAACGTAGGTGTGCTTGTAGGTGGCCAAAAATGAATCTTTGAGAAAATAATTAAATGTTTTAAAATACATTTCTTGTGCTTTTAATTTTCGAAGGTTCCTAAGCAGGTTAGTTTACCTTTCTCATCATATGCTAATCTCGTCATTAATATTTCAGCGTTTCTATTTCAGCTTCTGTTTTTTAACTGATTTTTTTTAAAACGTAAGCTCTGCATTATACATAAGTATAGTTGAATATTGAATGGCTACCAAATTATTCAACTAATTTTTTAAATTGAAGATATCGAGAAAATTATTGATGCTCAGTTACAACTTAATTCCACAGAAAAATGTTTGCAACTTTTAGAAAGCATATTTTAAAAATTATGACACCCAAGTGTACACTTAAAAATGGTTAAAGTGGCAAGGTTTATGTTCTGTTTTACCACAATTTACAAGAAGAGTGAGTGCAGCACTCTCAGGAGACCCAGGCGGGGCTGGTGCCACTTGCCTCGCTCTCCCGCACTTCCCAGACACGTTTCCACGGGTGGCGAGGCACTCTGCCCCCAGCCAGGGGACAAGGCTCCCCGAAGACTCGGTTGGCTAGCATTTTTTAGCAATGAAGTATTTTTTAAATTATATACAATTTTTTTAGACATAATGCTATTGCACACTTAATAGACTGCAGGATAGCGTAAATGTAACTTTTATATGCTCTGGGAAACCAGAAACTCTTTACTGTGGTACTCGCTTTAGTGTGGAGGTGGGCGGTCTCTGAGGTGTGCCGGAAAAGTAGGTCAGTACAGGAGGGCAGAGAACCGCTATTTATGTGTGTGTGTTAGTGTTAACTCTTATCTTTATCCCTACACACCCTGTTAACTTGGCAAGGTCCTTACTCATTACTTAAGATAGTTTGCATTTAAGAGTCCTGCTTGGGTTTCAGCCTAACTTTTTGTATGGTGGTCAGGTAATTTGTATTGATCTTCTCTGTGCACATTTTGCTGTGAATTTACGTTAATTTTCATTATATCATACAAAATGAAAATTAAGTGAACATTAACTTGTAGATGAAGGTGAAGCCACAAGAAGACTAGGTAAATGCCCGAGATTAATTCGACGATTGTTGAAACCCTGGCATGTAGGCAGAGGGTTTGCCTGAACCTGCTTCATGGACAACTGTTTGACATTGTTTGCACTCTTCCACGTGGTCCAGGCAGAGACGAGGGACTTGCACGTCCAGTTGTCTCAATAAAAACCTTGCTGTCACATGTTATTCCCATTCACAGCTTACAGTTTAGAAAACCAAAACTCATCTAGGTGAAATAATTTGCTCAGTGCGCACAGCTAATTAGCTAAGCCATAACTTTTACTCTCTGTTTTTGGGTAATATTGTAGAAACTAAAAACTTCGCTGTAGTCTTGTGTTTATGGAATTAAGAAAGTGTTTGATGGTTAAATTAAATGCACAATGGCTTTTAGTAGTGATTTAACTTTTTATAATCTGAGATTTGAAAATAGGGGAATACTTAATCTTTTTCAGAGGTAGGTGACTGCAGTGAGATAAGCATAAAGAATGTCCTTTGTATCATGTTCTTGAGAAGAGTAAGACGGGACCCAGCAACCACCAGAGGATACTGTGGAGCTCTTTTCTGGAAATTGTTCTTTTCTGTTTTAGGTTTATTCAGATAAAAGACTGAGAGAGTTCATGTAGAACAGCTCTTATATTTGTATTTCAAAACTCAGTTTAGGCTAAATTATTGCCTCTTTCCTTTGAAAATCAACCACACAGCATACTGTCTGAATTAGTGTTAACCATGATCCCAGTTTTTGTTTACTTTACAACTCTTTTAAACTGGTCCCTTGGTTTTGCTATTTCTCTATCTTTAAAATAGACTTATTTGAATGTTGTTTTCATGAATTCACTTGTAATAAAAGAGAAGTAATTTTTAAAAATTGTTTTATGCCTTAGTCGCATATAAATGTGGTAGCTGTGAAGTAGATCCTGGAGTCTGATCTCTTGGGTCTGAGTCCTGACCCTTTGCTTCCTGGCCGTGGAGACCTGGGCAGGCCAGACTGACTCCTGACCTCGTGGGTCTTAGTTTCCTAGTGTGTGCAGTGGGGGAAAAAATAGTTCCTACCTCACATAAGCATTGCCTGAATTAATGTACTTATTAATTCATAGCACCTATTATGAATAAACGTTACTTATTACATGACTATAACTATTACCAATTCAAATTGGGAAGATTTTAGGATAGCAGTATTACTTAATATATTTCACCATGAGATGTTTAAAATGAAACGGTGACTGCCACATGAAATGAGTGTTTTTCAATCATGTGACATCCATGCAATTCCCATGTCCTTCGCTCTCGAGTTTCTAAGAAAGTTGAGACCAGCTTGTGTAAACTTGGCTCAGTGTTCCACCTGTCATTTCTGCATACTTCAAGTGTTCCAGTCTCGCCTTTGGGGTGGGAAATGCTAACTCGGATCAGTCTCATTGCCACCCAGCCCCTTTTCTCTCTCTTCCCTCTCCTGCCCCAGAGCCTCGCTTTACCAATGGTTCCCGCCCCAGGTTCTTCATTCTGCCTCTGCTGGACCCTTGCCTTGCCGTGCCCTAGAGCACAGTCAGCTGTGCTCGAGTAAGGCAGAGTGCTCAGGGTCTGGGGCCTAGAGTTAGAGCCCTGAGTCTCAGTCCAGCTTGGGCTTACCCGGAGCAATCCGGTTAGCTTCTCCTTCCTGACCTGTGACTGTGAGGAGAGTTAAATGACACCTGCATCAGGGGTGGATTTTAGAATTTACATAGAAAACAGCGTGATGTCTGGAAAGATTTAATCACATAGTTATGTTGTTTGAGAATTTGCAAAACTGACAAGACTAGGAAAAAAAGGATTGGGCAATGACAGTCATTTTAGTAGGCAGAAGTATCCGTAGTATAGTGATTGTCTAGACTCTGAGTTATTGGCACTTGATAGAATTTTGTTACTGTTTTCTATTTGAAAGGAAGACTTAGGTATTTTTCCCCTATAAAGTGTGAGTTGGTTAAGTTGAGTATAGCAGGTCCTTAAGTTATAACATTGATGAGATGCGTAGGAAGTTAACGCTTGTTTATATCAATTATCCTGTGGTAAAATTGGTTTCATTAAACGTCCTTTTGCTTAAAGTTGCAGAACCTGTTGATGATGGTAAATGAGGACTTTACTGTAAGTTGAATATTTTTTTAAGGACTAGCAAAATTGGATAATTAATTTTCATCAGACTCTGAAGAAGTAAGCATTAAATGGTAATGGGACAAGAAAAACAGAATGGGTGACAATTTTTTCTTGAAAGTTAGATAAAAATCACGTAAAAGAATTTTAAATTTCATTTGTGCTATTTTAGTGCAATAAAATGCAATAATCACAATATACTAGAACTTTCCTTTTCCTTCTCCCTGTCTCTTGCAGGTGCCTCGGCATGGATAAATGTTCAGTGGGAGGATTAGACTTGGCTGACCAGACTCCTCTTTCTCTAAAGAGTAAAGCCATGGCAGCTAGTCCCACGGATATAGGAAATCCACTTGGGGACCCAACTAGTCCTTTAGTCAGCAGCTCTAGAAACTCATCAGTGGAAGACGATGATGACGATGTTGTATTTATTGAATCTGTTCAACCTCCTTCGATTCCTACTCCAGCAATAGCTGATCAAAGAAGTTTTCTATCGAGAAATGGAAAGCTCCAAGGAAATTATTCCATAATTCTTCCTTCCTCAAGAGATCTAGCTTCTCAGAAGAGAAATATAAGTGAGACGATTGTTATTGACGACGAAGAGGACATAGAAACAAATGGAGGGGAAAAGAAAAACTCCTCTAGTTTTATGGAATGGGGACCTCCTGAGACTAAAAACAGAACCAAAGATGTGGATTTCTCCATTTCCAGTCTTTCAAGAAGTAAGGTAAATGCAGGAATGGGTAATAGTGGTATCACTACAGAATCGACTCTGAAATTCAGATTGCTAATGTTACAACCTTAGAAACAGGTGTAAGCTCTGTGAATGATGGCCACTTAGAAAATACTGACGGGCGAGATATGAACTTAATGATTACACATGTAACAGCACTATAGAATACCAGCTTGGGAGATGTCGCTAACGGACTGCAGTCAAGTAATTTTGGTGTTAATATACAAACATACACCCCATCTTTAACTTCACAGACCAAGACTGGAGTAGGACCTTTTAATCCTGGTAGAGTGAATGTGGCAGGAGATGAATTTCAGAATGGAGAATCCGCAGCTCATCACAGCCCTGGTAAGCCGTGGGTGCTCTCCTACCCCGTGTAAATGTGTTTCAGCTTCGGCTGTTAGCTTTAGTACCCATGTTTATTTTATTTATGTTCTGTATGTGAAATATTTCTTGACTTTAAGATTAAGATAGAACATTTTACTTAAAACTGTGCAATCTACTTGGTCTCTGAATTTTGGGGAATTTAACTTATTTTATCCAATGTGGTTTACATTGAAAGTGTTTTAATTGAAAACCTCCATAACCACTATCCACGCTTGTATCAATATTTTAATGTAAAAAAAATCATAGAATAAAAAGATGGATAGGGAATTGAAAAGGAATATAAAGTAATATTACATAGTAATCAAAATTAATTTGTAATTACTTAATTTGAAATTCCAATTTTTGCTTTACAAGTGTTTACCAATGGCCTGCTTGTCTGTGATTTTCATTTTTAAATCGGCATTTTAGTAGTGGCTTCATTTAAAAGTTTCTCGCCTTTAAGTCAGACCTTAATATCAGAATGGACAGTCTCATTCCGATAAAATTAAAATATAATGGAAGTTATTTGAAAATTAGCAAATCTTTCGTATGATGTTTTCATGACACACGTGAGGTTTTGCGGGCCTTCTTTTGTGGGGGTTGGTGGCGTTTTTGGCCATCTTAGTGCCCTTCGTCATTGACCAACTTGGAATTGAGGGCAGCACTGAAGAGTCGCTAGAGCCAAGAGCCCCGTCGTTTATTTAACAGAATGCCAGTATTTTTTTTCTTTATTTTTTTAATTAATGTATTTTTTTTGTCATAGGACTACTATGTGGTTACTAGAGATTACTTGAAGGAAATCACAGTTAGACCTTAGATAATAACACCTGTCACTATACTCCACTGACCAGAAGTGACCACTGTTCATCTTTTGGTTTGTTTGCTTTCAGTTTTCTGCTTTTGTGGTTTTAAAAATGTAATTTAGAACGTATTACATATAGTTTTGTATTCTGTTGATTAATTTAACCTAAATTTTAGTGTGTCATTTTAAAAATAGAAGTTTCATTACTATGAAATTTTCCTTTGAGATACTGATTCCTCTACTTTTAGCATGTTTCCCATTTTTCACTATTGATTTTTTTTGTTCTGTGGGGGTCCCCCACCCCCCACAGCACCAAAACTTGACAAGTGGTAGTTTCTTAAAGGTTCTTACAGTGAGGAATTTTAAACCATATAGTGAACTTTCATACTCTATTAAATTAAAAACCATTGAACTTTGAATGACTCTTTTACCTTTGTGTGATTTAGTGATTTGGAAAATATCAATTCAGTGAGTTACACAGATTTTCTAAATGTTGGCACTTCAGAAAGCCGTCAAGCTTATGGTGGTGGATACAAGCTTTCAAAGATTCTAATTTTATCTTGAAGCTCATGATTTCTCACTAGCAGCAATTACTGTCATTTTTCTTGAAGTGACAGGCTCATTTGATTTATTTTTAAGAAAACGTCTATCGACCAGTTTGTCATTCTTTCAAGAAAAAATGGTATTTCATGAAAAGGAGGTCAGCTTGCAGTACGGTAATTTTGCAAGTGCTTTTCCGCTTTTCCTTAAGACAACTGTCAACTTTGGTAGGAAACAAGTGGTTTATGCATCTTTCTCTGTTCATCATACAAAACATTAAGCTGTAGTCAAAGGCTGAGATAGTAAAATTAATACTAATTTCACTATTTTACCAATGATCTGTTGTGTAATAAATACTTTCACTGGTTCTTGGGAGAAAGGCTGAATCTTTGAGGTTCCCCAAGCAGCAAGAAGGCCTTTTCACGAGCGCTGAATCACACGTAAATAAGTTTGCACTGAGAGACGAGCCGCAGGCCAGGGCTGAGGAGGGTCCCCAGGAAGACCACACATGTGAGGAGCGCTGGGCTCAGCCTCAGCGAGGAGAGAGAGTCTGGGGATAGAGTCCCGTCACCCGCCACGAATGATTCGATCACTGAAAACTGCACGGAAGCTCAGTGCGCTCCGTGTTGGCGACCCATTGGTGCGCCGGCTGGGTCAGTCACCACGCTGCCTGACCCACGGGGAGTGGGCACAGCGGCTCTGCTTCAGGACCCTCCAGACCTCATCCTGTCTGTCTCTTCATTTGCCTCATCCTGACTCGTATCCTTTCTAACAAAGCTCTGATTGTAAGTACAGAGCTTTCCCGAGTTGTATGCGTCATTCTAGCAAATTATCAAACCTGAGGGGGGAGGTCTTGGGACCCCCCAGATTTATGGCTCGTTGGCCAGAGGTACGGTGGCAGCTGAAGCAAACTGTCCTGTTGGGGACTGTGCCTTTAGTCCAGTGGGGCCTGAAGCTAACTCCAGGCATTAGTGTCGGAACCGTGTTGATCAGTTGCTGTAGTAATTACAACCATAAGTGAAGGTAACAGTTTTTCTTCCTTTTCTGCAAGTGTGAGGTAGTGAAGAGAGCTTGGCGAGTGCAGTTTGGTCCCCACTGTCGCTCACCACTGCCTTCGCACCATAGTGAGCCACCAGCACGGTGAAAGAGGCAGCCTCCCTCAGACTCCCTCACACTCTCACACTCTCTCACCACTCTCTCGGAGGGTTATGGAGATGCTGTGGCCCGGCAGGTCCCCAGTGTCTTTCTTTTTCTAATAGGATCTTGCACAATAATAGGAGGTGTTTAAAGCCTTGTCTCTTCTTGACTTGGAGTGGGGAAATCATTTGACTTTTTATGTCTTTATATAGTCAAATTAATTAGCTTTTTATGTTCATATTTAATAGCTTGTTATTTGAGGTTTCTAGATTTCATACTTGTAAACGGATTTCTCTGAGTTTCTCTAAGTTTGCCATACTTGTCTTATTTTCATGAGAAAAGTTTCTATAGGTGGAATTGCTAAATCAAAATGTCAACATATTTTTAAAGCTTTTGATGGTTAATGCAAAATTGCCCTCACCAAAAAATTGTATTACTTTTCTTACAACATAAGAGTTTTAGTTGCCATATTGAAAGCTTTCCTCAGGGGAAGGAGTGTTATTCAATGTTTGCTAAAATGATGACTGAAATGTGATATCTTAATTTATACATTGAACTTGTAAAAATAGATTTGCAATCATCTTATGAATTTATTCACTTATGTTTGTCATCCGTTTACTGTGTGCATCTTTTGTTTATTAAGAGTTAAGCCTGAGAAGTAATATCATAAAAAACTTGTGGTCTTTATATTGAAAGATGTGAAAAGCAATTGAAATAGATATTGAAGACTTGAAATACTGTCCATTGAAAATCATTCTCTTGGATCTATTTCTTTCTCTCATTTTCTGTTTTATAATTACTTCCTAAATTTTAGGTGTATATTTGTGTAAACATGAATTCCAACTTACATACATACAAGCTTTTAAGTGGAATTAAAACCAGAAAACTTGCCGTGTATTTCTATTATGTTTAACCATTTTTCTCTTTCTGGAGTAAATTGAAATTGTGTATTTGATGTGGAATGTGGATAAATAAGGTGCTTTTCAATTTAAAAGCATAGCATAGACTGAACTTAACTATGAAAATCCATCCTGTGGTTAGATTCTATACTATCGCTTCATACAAATTGTGGCCATTATGGAGACTTGCAAACGTTTGAAAATCGTTTTGATCACTCTTGCATTTTTTATTCTATCATTTCGTTATCTCATTAGTTCAAAACTGTGTTTTGTGTTTCTGGTATTTTCTCATCATGTAAAATATCAATGACTTTAAAATATAACAGAAGAAGCACTAACTGACTCACGTGACACTGATAAGTGAAAAAGTTTTTAACAACATTTAAACTATTTTATTTATGATATATGGCACAACTTTCTATTATCTATGAAGTATGGGTGAATTTACAACATTCCTGAGTTTTCGAAGGTTTTCTTTTGAGGTGCAAAAGTTACAGCACGAAACCCTTTGAAGAGTAGCATTTAGTCTGGAATGCTAAAAGGAAAGCTCACGGGGTTGTCGGGGTTGTCGGGTGAAGAGCAGTGGCAAAAGTGCTTGCACCTCTCTTAAAGGTTAAGTCAGTTGTGGAAACGACAGTCTTTTTGTCATTTTTGTTGCTATTTTTCATTCTTTAACTTGAACGTAGCCTAGTAAAAGCTGTCTCATCTTAGTATTACGTAAATGTTGTTTTCACTTGCTGTCAGTGTTAGTAAAACTAACCAGTTTTTACCAGAATTATAGAATAATACAGCAATTATGTTGTTATTGTTACTATTTAGAGTCAAAGCTCCCCCAGAATGTCTTACTCTAGTTGTTATGTGCTTTCCATGTCTATAAATTGAAGGCATTTGAGCACTGGAAAAAGAAAAAAATTAGAGCAAGGTGAGGATTTCTGGAGTTGAGTGACATTTGAATTTAGGGCTTATAAATTGAAATTTCACATAAAATTATGGCTCTGCATAAAGTACATGTAAAACTAGGTGTTCTATCTTATGAAAATAGGATTATGTTTGTTAGTGTGGACCTCTGAGTCATTTAATCCTTTCATTAACATTTAAGGCAGATTTATTTTTCAGTGAAAATTCTCCACTCATCACATACCTTTATGTCAGTAGCAGAAAACCCAACACGGAAAATGCCTCCCTAAGCTGAGAAATGCTCCTGTATATGCTTTGTATTTTTATTGCATTATGAATATTTCTGGCCCTGACACTGATTCTAGTGAGTTTTATTTCCGATAATAATAGGCTAGGTAATTCTCATCCTTCTTGCAGAGAATAATTAGGGAGAAGACACAATATAGAATGTCTGTTGAAAACATCATAGAGCGACAAATACAATGAAAAAATTAGGGTTCTGAGACCCGAGAGAAGGAGCCTCGTAGAAATGACGTGTCACCTGGAGCTGTGTTTCTCTCACGGGTGTGTGTTCAGTTCTGGAAAAGGCTGCTGAGGAGGCTGAAAACCGAAGAGGTGCCTTCAGCAGACTCACAGTCACACAGAGGGGAACCAGTGACAAATGACAACTGTGACCTTTGGGTTGGGATGCTGACATCCAAAGCCTCACATTATTTTCAGTTTTCATATAAAATCCATAAAAAGCAAATAGGGATGTGAGGAGACAACCATGTGACAAAATCAAGAGAAAAGCAGACAGCAGAGGTGAGGCGCCCACAGGGGGTCCAGGTAATCGGGTGTCAGGCACGAGTTCTAAGAGCCTGTGCGTTTTAACCGCACACTGGGCACTACGGAGGAGGGCTAAGTGGCCTGGAAGGTGTCAATACCGTCCAGACTGAACCAGCCCAAAGGTGGGAAGCATAGAAAGGAATGTGGGAGACCTGCGACCCGATGAGAAGGACACGGAGTTCATGTCCCCAAGAGAGGAGGGGGGATATGAGGCACAACTGAGAATTTTCTAGAACAGAGGTAAAACATTAACCTGCAAATTCAAGAACCTTTGCAGATCCCAAGTGGGATAAATGCCTCAGAAACCATTAAGGACAGGTATAGAAATCATAGCCAAATATTGAAATTAATCCACAGCAAATGGGTAAGTAGGAGTAGACGCACGTTGGAGTACTCAAAACGGTGAACCATTATGTGCAATTGTTGATGTTGTTAAGGAAACTAGACACAAAAGAGTACATGCTGTACGATTTCAAATATGTGAGGTCCCAAATGAGGCAAAACTAGTCAGAATAGGGACGGCCTGTGGGAAAGGAGGGAGGTTAGTGAGTGGGAAATGAATAAGGAAGGTCTTCTGGATACTGGGCATTTTCTGTGTGTTTCTGGGCGGTAGTCAGGCAAGTATGTTCATTATAAAGAATTTTGTTGATATCGTACTTAAGATTTGTAAACTTGTGTATATGTTATGTTTTATTCTAACAACCAAAAAACCCCCACTGAGACAAGTTTTCACCAATACTACAGAAACACAAAAAGATGGTTTTTTAGGCAGAAGAGTGTAGATGCAGGAAGAAATGAACACCTAAAAGTCAGATAGTAGATCTAGTACTTATTGGACTTTTGGGAAAATCACTTAACTTCTAGGTCTTAATTTTCCTTGTACATAATGAGGAATTTAGATTAAATAATGTGTACTAGGCCCCTTAAAATTTCTCTGGGGATAGGGCATGGAAGAGTTTGAGAGTTGTTTAAGTTTAACCTAGAGACACTAGTACCAAAAATAAAATAAAAATTTGATGAAATAAGAACTTTGACATTACGAGAAATTAAATAGCTACAGTATAAACAGGAAACGTTTGTTTTATGTGTGCACCAAAGCTGGGGGACGTTTCGGAATCCAGTTTCCATCTCGAGGGGCAGCATAGGTGGCATCTCACTTTCCATACTTCTGTATAAACGTGCCCCTTTTCAGAATGGGTAAGTCCACAAAGTTAAAAAGCCCAGTGTATTTGTGTTCAGGGTCTCATTTCTCCCACATTGATGGTGATGACAAACCTTGTAATGGTTGGCTATCTTTTTTTGTTTATTAAATCTGCTTGATAATCCAGATAATATGCAGAGACATTTGATCCCGGAATGCAACTTATGTTTATTCTAAAGGTAAATGTGTAATTTCTGGGTTTTTTTGTTTTAATTTTTTTTTTTTTAGGCGAGGCAACCCTTGGTTGACCTCACAGATTGCAAGGACCTTGTCAGCTTACAATCCTTTATTTATTATTTTTTTTATGCCTACAGCACCTGGTCGTCCTAGGTGGTCTCCCATCCAAGTACTAACCAGGCCCAACCCTGCTTAGCTTCTGAAATCAGACAGGATCGGGCTCGTTCAGGGTGGCATAGTCGTAGACAATTTGTTTTCTTTAGAATGTTCCTGAAATGATTTTGTTTTCTAAAGGAATGGCTTAGAATTACAAAAATTTAGAAGTAAAATAACTTCTTTTATGAGTACTTGGTGATAAAAAATTTTATTGGCATATACTCCATATTTGCCAGCATGTCATCCTGTGGAATGAAAGAATTCCTCTTGTTACTTGTTCTGTTTTGGTTTTGCCTGTAAGATAAAAAATACCTGGAATTAAGGCAAAGAAAATTAGAAGCAGTGGGTGGGAATTTAGAAATAAAAATAGAATTGTTGGTGTTGGTAGTATTGTGGGAAGCCTCGGGCATTTTGATGGGTGCAGGGACCGTAAGCCTCATGCTGATGACAAAAGCTACCTTTGAAGACAGATGACAGAAGGATTCAGTACTCTAGGGCCTCGTTTCTCAAAGCCTTGCCGATACCAAGGAGTTAGTTATAAATGCAGAGTCTCAGGCCCCTCACAAGCCCTGCTGATTCAGCATCTCCGCTAAAACAAGATTCTCACGTGACCACGTGCACGTTCAGGTGTGAGACGTACTGTTACCAGTACAAACGATTGTGCTGTTTTGAAGCTACAGTCACGTATGATGGAGGAGTCTCTGTATGAACTTAGAAAAGCTGAATTTCCTGAGTAGTCCACCACCTATATTAATGCTTAGGAAATAATATTTTGGACAGATGATAAGTAATTCTAGAAAGAGTTGCTTTAAAATGTGATGTCTAAACTATATTCCAAAGTATTTTGGCGGGAAGTGTATTGATGTCTACATATTATTTGAAATACATGAAAAATAGATTGATCATTTAGAGGGATGACTCGATGGAAAGGTGTGATAGAGTTAACAGTATAAAATTAGGGTCAGGGAGGATGAAGAGGGCAAAGGGGTCAGACATATGGTGACGAGGTCTGGACCATGGGTGGGGAGCACACAGCATAGAATATGCAGATGTCCCAAAACTGCACACCTGAAACGTATATAATGTTATTAACCAATGTTAGGCCCAGTAAATTTAATTTAAAAAATAGTAAAATAGTGTAATATGGTGAGCATATGGGTGTTCACTGTAAAATTCCTTCAGTTTAAATGCTTTAAATCTTTCATAATAAAATGTTAGGGGGAAGCTGTTGAAAACATATCATTTACCACACTCCATAGTTATCTTTGTACTTATTTATTTTAGAATGTATTAATACTCTATTCTTAGAGAAGAAAAAGTGACTAATATTTTTCGCACGTGCCCTGGTACCAAATACAATGCTTTAACGTTCTCTTGAGTTAGGCGTCGTTGCCAGTTTATAGCTAAGAAAACCAAAACACAGTTTAATAGACTTGTACAACCTAGTAAGCTCAGGGCATTTTCGAACCCGGGAATCTGACTTAGATGATGGCCACCGTGTGGCACAGTGCCAAGCCACCGTTTACATTGTTGGCACGACAGGGTGTCATTCACCTAGAACACAAAGTGGATAGTCCCCTGGGGTTGTGCGAGAAGGCTGCCTCACTGTCTTCTTAAACTTGTACAAAATGGAAACTAGAAGTATTATTCCGATGTGGGTTTTGACCTGTTCTGTGCCTCCTTGTGTTCTGTTTCTAAGACTCGTGGATCTCCCAGTCAGCGTTGTTTCCCCGTAATCAGAAGCAGCCCGGGGTGGACTCCTTATCACCAGTGGCCTCGCTTCCCAAACAGATTTTCCAGCCTTCAGCCCAGCAGCAACTTACCAAACCAACGAAGATCACTTGTGCAAACTGCAAGAACCCTTTACAGAAGGGACAGACGGCTTATCAACGGAAAGGATCCGCTCACCTCTTCTGTTCCACCACCTGCCTCTCCTCCTTCTCTCACAAGCGTACTCCAAAGAAGCGCAGTGTAGTCTGTAAAAAGTAAGCCGTCCCTCTCTGCGTGGCTGCATGTGGTCAATCCTGGCAGTGTAGACGTGTGTGATCAGGGAGCTGCAGAGGCTCACAGGTAGTGTTGCAGAGGCGTCTTCACGGTTAACGAGCTTGTCAGAGCTGTCCTTGCTCCTGGCAGGACAATGGAAGGTTTATGGCCGTCTCCCTGCCACTCCTTGCCTCCCCCTTCCCACCCTCTGCCTTCTACTAACTTGCTGCCACCCTCTTTGAATGCTTCTAGAAGCCATAAGAACCTGTGGCAAGGTTCTTGCGCTGCAAAAGATGCTCATCTCGAAACCCTCTTCTCCTGTGTAATTTAGGTGGGAGAACTTGGCAATGAAACCAAAAAGTGGATTTTGCTAGATCCAGAAATTATAGTTGATTCCTAGTATTAAATTATAAGAAAATGGAAAATGTCCATTAGTATCCACATATTTGAGTTTTATTAAAATGCAACGTCCTTAAATTGTCTACTGCTGTGTTTCAGAGATGCACCTGCCCGAAGAGCCGCTGTGGCCCCTCCAGCGGGCTCCAGCCAGTCCTTCCAGGGAAGCCGCCGTGCACCCTGTGCGTCCCCCTGCGGAGACGGTCAGAGTCTCCGACGGCGAGTCCCCAACAAGTCGAGATGCGCAGTGTGCAGTAAGCTGGCAGAGGTCCGCACCGTGACACCTTGCGTAGGCATTGCCTAGGTTAACGGGAGCGATTTTAGCTCTTTGGGGCGGTTCTGGGCTCCGCCATCTCTGTCACGTCCTGTGAAGTTAGGGGCGCACCGGCGCTGTCCTGTAGACAGGTGTCCTGTTCGTGCAGCAGGGCACACCCATGACACCGTGGTGGTTGTGTGGCCTCCGTCCTCACTGGCCACGCTGAGTACGACATTGGTTGGGACGTGAAGGAGGTAGGCAGGCCTGCTGTAGGAACACGTTGCCACGTCGAGTAAAAAGGTGTCGATTTTTAAGGGAGAGCACGCGGCAGATGATCCTCCCGTCACGCAGCCCGGGGACTGGCTTCTGCATGGGTCGTCCAGAGCCAGGCGGACCCAGGACACGGTTTTATCTTGGCCGCCACAGAGCTGAGCAGAGCAAGAGCCGCCCTCCTCCTGTGCCTGCAGACACTGCCCCGGCCGAGCGGGGCTGAGGCTGGCCCCCAGAGGGTTCCAGGTTGGGGTTGGCCACTCCGGCAGCCCAGTACGTTTCTTTAAGCAACGCCTACCTAAATCTAAACGAGTTCATTTCCTGGACTCCACAAATGTCTCTGGGGACGTTAGTGCTGACACATTGGTTTTTCGTTCTGAGTCTTATTTTTCTTTTTTTATAAAATCAAAGACTGATTTTAACTAAGAAATCAAAGATAAAAGTGAAAGAATGACAAAACAGGCTGTGTAGTGTTTCCCCTGAATGCTTAGTCTAGTTTCTGCTGAAGAAGCTGTTCGTTGTCTTCTGCCGAAGAAGCTGTGTGCTAGTCTGGCTCATGTATTAACAGGTGCTGGCTTCTCTCTTAGGTTCGCCATGAAGTCAGCGTTAGCAATGTGACACACAAGCTGTGCAGTGACCACTGCTTCAATGAGTACAGAGCGGCCAACGGTCTGACCATGAATTGCTGCGAGCAGTGTGGGGAGTACCTGCCCAGCAGAGGGGCCGGGCACAGTGTCCTGGCAGCCGGCGGGCAGCGGATGAGGTTCTGCTGCCAGGGCTGTGTTAGTGAGTACGCACAGGTAACCTTCCAGCACAGGTAATCTGTCAGCGGTCTACGTGGCCAGTATGCCAGAGCTCTGCCCGGTAGCTCATGTTGACTCTGACGTCAATCAGAGCATCTCATTTACTCTCATTTTTGTCAATCTGTCACTGAGCTGTGCCATCTTAAATGAATATTGAAAATGGTTGATTGTTGTAAGCTTGTTTTAGATCCTTATTCTTTGCAGGTATTACAAGTAATTCTTTCCTCTACCGTTTCACACTCCCACTGACAAGTCGATAATTGCAATTACTCCACATTCTCAGCAAAATTTGGTATTCTCTGTTTTGATTGAAGCTATTCAAGTGGATACGAAATGATTATCTCATCGTGGTTTTAATTTGCATTTCCCTGATAACACATATTCCCTTTCATCACTCATAGATCTTATTTTGTAAAGTGTCCATTCAAGCTTTTAGCTCATTTTTTTAATCGGGTTGTCTTTTTGAGTTGTAGGAATTTATATATATTGGATGCATATCTTTTGTAAAATAAACGTATTCAGAAGATTTTTCTTCTGGACGATGTTTTGTCTTTTCATTTTCTTGATGTTTTTAATTTTGATAAAGTCCAATTTAGTATTTGCTTTTCTGATTAATACTTTTGTGTCTTGTTTTAAGAAATCTTTGCCTACCAAACTTATGAAGATGCTTGCCTGTTTTCATCTAGAAGCGTTTTAGTTTTAGATTTTACGTCTAAGTTGGTGATCCATATCAAGTTAATCTTGTGTATGGCATGAGGGAGAAGTTAAGGAATTTTCTACCTAATTTCAAGGCATTAAAAACTTCAAAACATTGCATTGAACAGCATAAACATATTCAATTTTTGTTTATCGGTTATACCTCAATAAAGCTGGAAAAAAACACATTAAAAAACTACAGTAATCAAGGTAGTGTGGGGTATAAAAACAAATAAATAGGTCAGAGGAATAGATAGTCCAGAAATAGGGTCACACCTGTACAGTCAGTTGATATTAGAAGAAGGTACCAGATCATTTTGATGGGAAAACGAGGCCTTTTTAGCAGACGATGCCGGTGCAGTCTTTTGCCGTGTGGAAGTATAAGTGAGCCTTGAGCCCATTTCACCCCATGGATGAGGAAAGATGTGAGCAGTTTAGCCTTGGAGCCCAGAGCAGAAGGCAGGCAAGTCAGAAGTTTTTCCAGGTCTCTGCTCTCGGGCCCTGTTCAGTAATTGTCTCATAGTTACGAGGACCCTTGTTTGAACATAGTGACAGCTAACATGAGTTTACTGTGGTGCCAGGTACAGCTTGACATGTGTTTTTACATTCAATCATCTAAACAGCCTTCCTTGTTAGATGCCAATTAATGTCCTCATTTCGTTTGATTTACTTCTTATTTTTATTTATTATAGTCTTAAGGTTTTAATGTATTTCACCTACTCTGCCGTCTTCACCAGACCTTGATGTCCTCGTCTTGTTGCCAAGGAAATAAGCTTAACTGATTGAGTGACTTGCCCAAGGTCTTACTGCTGGGCAGTGGCCCATCACTGAGAACTGGAACAGCTTGACCACCTCCGCGTTACCAGGAAACCGGGGGCGGGGGTGGAGATTAGACTAAAGTTTGCGTTTGGTCGTGTGAAAGCAACACTGACTGCAGCCCGTGGCTCTGTTTCCTTTGTGGGATCTCCCGCTACGGTCCTGGCCGCTCACGTCGTTTCAGTTAATATCCATTTCGATGACTTCCTAAATATCTGCGGGTCATGTGTCTTCCGTTTCAGACCAGTACGTCCACGTGTCATCTCCATTTGCATGTCTCACAGATGCCTCAATGGTGTCTATCACGGGACTCCGATCCCACTTCCCTTGTTCGCCTTGTCAGTAAACCCCACCGTCCAGTCGGCGCCCAGCAGGAGCTAAGGTTGTTCTTATTGTGGAGGTGGGGGGTGGGGGGACGTTGTATATAACCAACGGTGCCCACCGTGGTCCCTGCACTCAGAACGCCGTTGGGATGGTGCTGTTGGCCTCGGCCACTGGAAAAGGAGCCGTCTGCTTCGCCCGCCTCGGGGTCGTCCTTCCCACCTCCCTCTTCCTCAGCCCCAGAGCCACTCAGTTTCCAGCTGGCCCAGGTTCTCTCAGCTCCATCCGTCTCGGCCACTACCCCCGACGCAGCCCCTGTCCTCTGTGCCGGCGTCACCACAGCCTCCTGGCTGCCCTCAGTCTTCCCGAGGGGTGGAAGCCCACAGACAGTATCGTCAGAGCGGTCCCTCTGAAGTGCCACCTTGGTCGCGTCACTCCTGCTGGGTTTGCGTCAGTGCTGCCACTCTGCCTTCAGGGTGAAATCAGAGCAAAGCTCTTGGTTTAAGCCCCGTTGTGCACTGTGTCCCAGCTCACAGGCTGCCGTTCACACTGCACACGTCTTGGCTGTTCTCAGTCTTCTTTCTGCATCTTTATTTTATTGACTCCAAAGTAGGAGATGTGTGTCTCTCCTAAATGGCCTCGTGCACCGTGGTGCTGCGTGACTGGTTTCCAGGTGCACCCGTGTTGTGGCACATGACTTCGCTTCACTTCTTTTTTGCCAGATATTCCATTGTGTGGATAATACCACATTTTTATTTATTCATGAGTAACAGACATTTGCGTTGTTTCTGCTTCTCTGACTGTCGTTGAGTGTTGCTGTGAAGGTTTTGTGTGGCGCGTGTTTTCGTTTTGGTGTGCTAGGTCAGGGCACCTGATTTCTGAGGAACGGCCAGACTGCTTTCCAAGGCAGCTGTGCTATTTCACGTTCCCACGTCACCTCAGGAACCAGGTTTTCCACATCTTTGCCAACAGTTGTCTTTTTGTCATACCTATTCCAGTGGGTGTGACATGGTATGTAGTGGATTTGATTTGTATTTTCCTGATGGCTAACAATGAGCTGCTTTTCACATGCTTACTGGGCATTTGTATATATGTTAATTTCTTTAGTGTTAACAGTTCTAAGGTAAAATTGTAATCTGTTTCTTTCCAGATGCTGGAAACAAAATCAAAAAAATTATCAACATCAGAAAACAGAAAAAGAAGTGCTATTCGCGAAGAAAATGAAAGATCATTGAATATACTTTTGGAAAAAATAGAGGGAATACCAGAAAAGAAGGAGAAGACCTCAGAGCTGCTGGTTTCAGCAGAGTGTGGCACACGCATGTCACCGGCCACCCGGGGCGCAGGTTTACTGTCTCCTGTGCCCGCTGTGGCTGACGCACTCCAGGAGCAGCGCGGGGACGAAGGGCCGGACGGCGCTGGGCCCGTGGTGCTCCCAGCAGACCCTGGGACGTGGCCCCGGGCCTTGACTGTCAAACAGCGAGACATTCTGGTCGAGAATGACCCACCTCAGGTGAGAAATTTTAACTTCCCAAAAGACAACACAGGGAGGAAGTTTTCAGAAACTTACTATACCCGAATTCTTCCAAATGGTGAGAAAACCACTCGATCCTGGTTACTTTATTCGACCTCCAAAGATTCTGTGTTTTGTCTGTACTGCAAACTCTTTGGGGAAGGAAAGAACCAGCTGCGGAACGAGAACGGATGCAGGGACTGGCAGCACCTGTCCCACATCCTCAGCAAGCACGAGGAAAGCGAGATGCACGTCAGCAACAGTGTCAAGTATTCAAAATTGAAATCCGATTTGAAGAAAAACAGAACGGTTGACGCTGCAGGACACAGATGACGGGACAGTGGGAAACGGGGCGCCGTGCTGCTGCCATGACGCGCCTGCCGGGGCTTGACGTCCGCCTGAGGCCTGTCCCAGACACTCATGCCGCCTGTGTCCTGGCCCCGTGCAGTCACTCTCGGCAGTTTGTTGGTGATAAGTATCATCACAAATAACTCACAGAGTGTTTCCGCTCCAGATTCTCAAGCCAGCTGGATTCCAGAGTGATTAGTGCAGGTTTCAATGAAGACAGTTAATTGTTCATTTTTTCAGTTTGCCAATTCATGTTTTTTAAATAGGCATTTGATAGGTTTGGTTAATTTTCTGTTCTGATTACGTTGAAAGAGGGAGAGAAAGGCTTGAATTTATTGGAACCAGTTTGAACAAGATACTTACATGCATAGGCGTTCTCATCATGATTATTGGGTAAAAACGTTCAGAAACGGTCTAAGGACAAAATGGGATAGGGAACTGCGGCTTTTTGCTATTAAACCAAATATTTGTGACTCATTTCTTTTGGGCAAAACATCGTTTTATTATATGAGCAAAACAGCATCATTTGTTATATTAAATTTTTAAGGTGGTTTATTTTCATTTTACTGATTTTGTTTTAATTTAACTGGTAAACGTTTTAGCTTTTATTATGTGAGAACTATAAGCATAAAGTGTATACCTATTTTTATGATGGTACAAATATAAGAAATATGAAAATAAAATATATTGTTTTCTGTAGGTATTGTGGCACTTTTTTTCCTCTGAAGGAGACTGCACGCTTGAAATTTGAGAAACAAATGAAAATTAAAGATCTCATTGCTTCAGAGGGTCAATTGGTGTTACAGGTATTAACTGTTTGGTAATTCTCCCTTCGTTTCCGGTTTCTGATGCCGATTTCATCGTACATTAACTCCTCGTGGGTACTTGGCCTTGTCTCAAGGCTTTTCCTGTGAAAGAAGACAGCATGTGAGCTGTGACTGGCTTGGAACAGGGCGCGTCTGGGGCTGTCGCGGGCTTGCCTGCAGCTGTCAGGGAGGCCTGCGCAGGAAACTGTTTGGAACACCCAGGGAAATGTTCTTCGTTAGTTCACAACCGTTTGTTTTTGACAGAGACTGTTTCAGTCTTTCAGACTTGGATCTGAATGAGCCTGGGATGGTTCCAAAAGTCCAGTTTACTCCCAGAGGCCTAAGAGGTTATGCTAGAGAACATGACAGGTGTTTCCGAGGTTCCTTTGTGAGTGAATGACGTGCCCGTTACTCCATTCACACATACCAGCGAGTCGAATGGCAGACTGGTTGTATGATGTTATTAGACAGTTGAGTGTCTGAGCAAACAAACAAAATCGACCAGCAGCTACTTAAGATAGTCTGGTAAGAATATCAAATATATCTATTGAGAAACCAAACTAGATCCTCAACCGTAAAATTTTCTTGTTTCTTCAACATACCGCACATTTACAAGGCTCCATAAACCCTTAATGTAGAAATGAGGTAAATGTAGAAAATTCAAAAGATGCAGTTCCCGGGTTTATCTGAGTTCACTATGAATTTCTTTCAACTTTTATGTATGAAATTTTTCATAATGAAATGTTGAAGGAAAAATCGACTGTAAATTCAGAAAAAGTAAATATCTCTAGGCTGGCAAATAACTTGGTGGTGGTTTTCTACTTTAGCTCTTTTTCACAGTTTAATATCAGAATGTGCCTGCTGTAAAGAAGGGAGGAAGAACACAGAATGAGAAGTGCAAGCCGTCCCTGCCCCCCGCCCACACACACACACTTCCTTCCAGGACTGGTCATCAGTGAGCTGGACCATACCCAGGGTTTGTTGCCCATCCTTTTAATTTCTCTGAGAAAAGGCATTAGGAAAAGTTAACCTACCACTAATTTAATACCAAAAATTAAGAAGGGGAATTCAGAGTAACAGTCCGTAAATGGCAATTTATTGATTTTCTCACGGAGACCAAGTGACATTTTTTTATAAACCACACATTTTCAAAATTGCTATCTTCGGAACTCATACTGAGCCCTTTTCTTTGGCCCTTGCCTGCTCAATGCTGTTAATCTGTTGTGGTGCGCATGATTCTGAGACCCACGGAGCCGATTGAGATTAATTATGAGCCATTATGAGCCTTTATTAGCCGGCCAGCGACTGACTCTCTACCATGCAGGGTTAGAAGAGATCAGCCCCGAGCTTCCCAAGCAGGCTGCTTATAAGGTTTTTTTACTACATCTTTAAATGAACAGATTACAAGAAGCAGAAGTTAGTTGTTAACTCTTTATACACAGATAAATGTGTTCAGGGGAACTCCCAGTAAACAGGGCCTAATAGACAGTTTTATCATCTTTTCCTTGGAATGTTGCGCTTCCCCCTGGGGCTGGCACCCAGGGATATTACCTCCCTGTAATTGAGTTACTGCTCTCCCTAGGAGATGGCGCCTGGAGATACCTCTTCCCTGAAACTGGAGAATTTCCACTTTTACAAATCCAGTAGGAGTTGCTAATGGCCATCTATGCACAAGGCGCCATCTGCTATGTGGGCTGCAAAAGTGAGCAAAGAGCTCAGTCACGTCAGGGGGAAAGAACGGTGCTCCTTCTCTTTGGATCCTGTCACTCTTCAGTTTTAAAGCTTTGAAGTTGCCCCACTGCTGCTAGTTTGAAACTCCGGCCCCTTCGCGTGAGGTAAGATGGGT